TAGACATAGCTTAGATTGAGTGAACCAATATAAACTTCTGTGCATACTCTCTATATTTCAACACTACTTACTTTGTTTTTCATCCACTCACTTTTCAATAAACTATTAGACGAAAACACATTTGATTATTTTGTTTAAAAAATCCTTTTACTGGACGATAAATCTTTCAAACGGAAAACAAACTAGTCCATCTTGGTTCTTGAAGTAGACAATCTATTTTGCTAGACAAATCATCTTTACAAATCTACACAAGTCTTCAACCGTGATTGAACACTCTATTCATTTTAAAACTAGCATTACGAAGCAATTTTCAAAAATCTACCTTCGAACACGCACACACATTCAACCCTCCTTCTGTGTGTATTTTCGCTAACTTTAGTCTAGGCCTATCCTATCCTGCATGTGTGCCACCTTTGAAATGCACAACAGAGAAGAAGGAAGACATCACTACTTCATCACTCATAACGTTCCATCTTCAGAGTTCAGATCCTATTGTGCAAATAACCACTTGAGGGGCTCTTGCAAAAAGAAAAGATGGGTTTGAACAACCAACAACATGGTGGTACTAAAGGCGTGTTTCTTGTTTGTTACTTTTCATGTTGGGGTTACTACTGCTCGCATGCTCAAAAGTGACACTACTACATATACCACATTTAGTAAAATTTATGTGCCAACATGTAACAAAATGTTACTAATTTCTCTTAATTATATATTTTTGTAACATTTTTAACAATAAATGTTACCAATTAATTTGAATTATACTCTTTAGTAACATTTTAAATCATAAATGTTATTGTTTTATTTAAATTATATATATATATATATATATATTTTTTTTTTTTTAACATTAAATATTACTAATTTATCCAATATTTTAAACATTTTTAATAATAAATTTTACTACTATTTTCTTAATTACTAATTTTAAATAATAATAATAATAATTAGTTTTTATTTAAATCTATTTTCTTATTTTAAAAAAAACTTGCTTAAAACAGTGCAAGAGCACTTAAAACTGCTCTCGTAAAAACAATGCAAAAGAGCCTTTCCGCACCTCTAAGTGAATAGCAATGACGTTTACATTCAAAAACCACAAAAACCACAAACATCCATTTCTCTGAGGTAAGATCCTTTTAACTCTTTGAAGTATTGCCCTAATTCTTTTCATCTCTCATTCTCCTTTCTTATTCTTCAAAATCGGAAGCCATATACTCATATTGACCTAGTTATCGAAACGTTAAAGTAAGTTTTACGATTTTTAATTTTGAGTAACCAGGATCTTTTGATTCTCGTATTGTTCATTGAATTTAGGATGTGAATGAGATATCTTACTGGTTCAACTTCCTTTTCCCTATTGTTTGTATTTTCTTTACAGCTTGCAGAAGGTTAAGGGAAACGGCTACAATTGAAGCAGGTTATAAGCAGGTTATTTCTGGGCAAATGGATTTATTTATTTTATTAGTTTTGACTGAGTCAGTTATGTATTACAGAGATGGGTGGCTCTGTTGGAGATGAGTCATAAACAAACTAGAGAAGGAGGGGTTGTTGTTGACAAACAGGGGAGGGGAGAAGTAAAAGTGGGGGAAAAGAGGTGTGGGGTTCTTTTAACAATTGAAAATAATACCTGCATATGAGATCTTGCATGCTCATTTGCTTTTAATGCTTTTTGCTGATTTTTAACTTGTTCTTGTCGAGTCTTCTCAAAAGTATCATAATCCCCTTTATAAGTAGTCAGATTTTGGTTTTGTAAGTGAATTATATCAGTAACAACCTGGGAAAGCAATTAACAAGTTAAAAAATATGTTAGGAACAACGTTTAAGCCAATAAGCATGGAAAAATATTCAGATGAAAGCTTTGACAGGCAAATAATGAGTCAAATAATGCATTGGATTCAAATGGTTTTGTGCTTTGCTTTCCATCTAAGTCTAAGCCCACACCTCCAGTCTTATCACATGCTAAGTATGCCTATCACTTGAATGTTTCAATTCTTCTACTGAAAAAGAATTTTATGCTTATCTCAGTCCAACACAAATTAGTAACCTTTCGGATTAGACGAATTAGTTATCGAGATAACAATTAAGTTTTACATAAACATAAAGCCCTCAACCTACCAGGTAAATGAAAAAAAAGTAACATGAGCTATTGTGAAGGTGCATGATTACTTGGGTCATGTTGTGTCTGCAAAGGGAGTTCAAGTCGATGCAACTAAAATAGAAGCCATTGTCTCTTGGCCATTACCCCATAATGTTAAGCAATTACGTGGGTTCTTGGGAATCACTGGATATTACCGTCGTTTTGTAAAGGGATATGCCACTATCGCATACCTTCTTACCGATATGTTGAAACAGGATCGTTTTCATTGGACACCCGAGGCAAAATTAGCATTTGAGACACTCAAGCATGCACTCACATCAACCCCTATCCTCGCTCTTCCTAATTTTTCATCTACATTTGAGGTTGAAACCGATGCAAGCACACAGGGCATTGGAGCAATCTTATCCCAACACGGCCATCCCTTGGCATTTTTTAGTAAGAAGCTCTCTCCCTAGATGACCAAAGCATCCACATATGTGCGTGAACTTTATGCCATCACACAGGCAGTCGCAAGATGGAGGCACTACTTGCTGGGAAAAAAATTCACCATCAAAACAGATCATAAAAGTTTGAAAGATTTGATGTCACAAGTGATTCAAACACTAGAACAACAATATTATCTCGCCAAACTCTTGGGATATGAATTTGATATTGTTTATCGTGCAGGAAACACCAATTCTGTTGCAGATTCCTTATCTCGATTACCAGCTACTCACTACCATATTTATACCCAACTTGAAAGTGCCATCATATCTGAATTACGCAAAGCCAATACATCTGCACCAGAACTACTCAAGTATCATGAGCTGCAGCGTCGTGACCAGCTTCCCCCTGGATTTTGTTTACAAAATGGTCTCCTATTGTATCAGTCTCGTATGTACATCCCAAAGGATTCTCCTATTATTGAAAAAGTGCTCCATGAATTTCACTCTACCCCACAGGGAGGACATGCAGGAACCTTGAAAACATATAAAAGGGTCGTAGAGCAATTTTACTGGACAGGCATGAAGCAATCTGTGGAAAAATATGTGACTGCATGCGTTACTTGCCAACAGACAAAATACATGACCACCAAGACCCCAGGCCTTCTTCAACCTTTACCAATTCCTACCGCCCCATGGACTGAGATTTCCATGGACTTCATTGTGAGTCTTCCCTCTTCCCATGGTTATACAGTAATCTTTGTTGTTGTGGATCTCTTGACAAAAAATGCCCATTTCTTGCCTCTCAAGCCAGGTTTCACAGCTAAAGTAGTGGCCCATATTTTCTTAGACTCAATAGTAAAGCTTCATGGCCTTCCCCGAGGCATCGTCTCCGACAGGGACCCAATTTTTTTAAGTACCTTTTGGCGTCAACTCATGCGCTCTGGCGGAACTAAACTCCATTATTCCACTGCTTACCACCCACAAAGCGATGGCCAAACCGAGGTAGTCAACCGATGCCTTGAACAATACCTCCGTGCCTTCACTTCTGATCATCCGAACCAGTGGCACACTCACCTTTCATGGGCTGAGCTATGTTATAATACAACTTTTCACACTGCTATAGAGATGACTCCTCATCAAGCATTATACGGCTCCAACCCAAGATTGTTGCCTACTTACACCCCAGGCACAACATCTGTGGATGAAGTTGATTTAACTTTGGTAGACCGCCAAGAAATTCAAAAATTGCTACAAGCCAACCTGACTAGAGCACAACATCGCATGCAAAAGTATGCCAATTCTAAGCGCATGGACAAGAGCTTTGAAGTGGACCAATGGGTGTGGACTAAATTCCATGCTTACCGCCAACAATCCGCAGCCATCTGTTGGCATTTTTTAGTAAGAAGCTCTCTCCCCAGATGACCAAAGCATCCACATATGTGCGTGAACTTTATGCCATCACACAGGCAGTCGCAAGATGGAGGCACTACTTGCTGGGAAAAAAATTCACCATCAAAACAGATCGCTCATGACATAGATGCTGACCAAAAAGAACGAGAAAACTAATTTAGTCTTTATTTTATAGCTCGAACAAGAAGCAAAATAGCATAGGTTTTAACAAAATGAGGCATTTATGGCCCCATAGGAAAAGTAGTCCATAAATCCTTATCCAAACTAAACAAGTAGTAAAGTGGGATAGTAACATAAATCATAAGTTCTAACTAAATTGCAAAGAGTGGGTGTACGATCATAACATGAATCATAAGATGCAACTAAAATGCAAAACATACACAGAAGAAAAATAACCTCTCTCTCACACATATAAGAAAAATGAACTGATACACTGTAGATTATGTACATATCCTCATATTGTCCACCATGAAATCAATGACATTTTATAGGTATCAAATTTTGAAACAGTCACACTATGTTTGGAGACAAAGAAACCACAATATTACTCTAGAGAACAACATTTACTACCGAATAATCAAATTATGATGTCATGTCAATCAATATTTTCACTCTCAAACATGCACCAGAAGTTCCAAAATAAAGCTATAATAAGACTATGGCCTTTTTAACAGAGAAAATACAATAGATAAATTTCTTTTAATCTTTTTTTAAGAAAAATGAACAGATACCTGTCGGTTATCAGTGACCTTATGTACCAACTTGCCATCACAGTGCCTGTACTTCATGACATACCGTGTCTGCTCCAAATACATTTGAACAAATTTCATATTTTAGAAGAGTTAATAGAACAGAGACAAGATAAATAACTTTGACAATCACGAAACTGAAATATAGTGCATTAGTTAATATGTATCTATCTTAGTTGATGAGTTTAGTCTAATAAAGCATATAGTCTTAGTATTATATATATTGCAGTGAGCATATCATACAATGTATTGTTGATGCTTTGAGTAGGAACCTGCTTTGGATGATACCTCTTGCTCCTTTTGTCATGATCAAATTCAAATTTTACTTTTTAGATAATTGATTTATTTTACTTTTTTCTTATCTTGCTTAATTTAGAAATTCAAATTGTGGAAAATCTAGCTGAAGTTGAGAAGTTAGTCAAAAGGTGAATGCATGCACCTCACTTGCTAAAGTCTTTAAATTGTTTATTTATATATTTTTTTTTGTTTGATTTTTTTTATAGTATGGTTCATATGCTGTTATTTTTATATAGCAAATCAAATGAAGAAAAGGCTAAAGAAGCTGCTGTTGAAAAAGATCCTAATACGTTGGAGTGTCCACTCAATGCGTTTTCCCTTTTCTTGTAATCTTCTTTCTTTAAAGTATTTTTCTATTTTTTTGATTGTTTTATTCAGTAATAATCTTTATTACAGGCAAAAATTTAAAAAACTTTACAATGAAGCAAATCTTGATTCCGAAAATGTTGAAAGGGTAAGTGAAAGTTATTAAATTGATATAATTACTTTTGATTTTATTTAGCCATAAACTAATTGATATTTATTTTAAAAAAATATAGGTTAATAAAATGGCTGTTAAAACATGGAAGTCCATGACAAATGAGGTAAGTCTAAGCCTTATTTTCATTTTAAAGTAATTTGTTATTGATTAAATCTCTTTTATGACAATTGAATCAGGAAAAAAAGACTTATTTTGATACAGCAGCTAAACTCAACGCAGAGGCTAAGAAATTGCAGCATATTGCATTAAATGAAAGGTTATTTTTATAATTTATTGTTTTATGATAATTTTTATTCACATAAATTATGATTTATGACATTTTTATTTTGATTTTGTTGATTCTAAATAGGTTGGCTCAGTCTAATCAAATAGGTATGTTGCTAACTTTTAATTTGTATCAGGTTTTTAACAATGAAGTGAGCTAGAATAAGAAATTGCATTAGTATACGTTATAAGAATTAACTACATTTGTTTTTCTTTTTTTATCTTGTTTATATGGGAATATGATGTAAATAGGTAAATGCACTCCACTTGGCACAAGTAGAACAATCAATGATTTTCAAGTAAAACAAATGGGGAAAAGAGAACATAAGCCCAAAGTTCATTTTGATATGACTAACTTGGATAAGTCAAAAAAGGGAAAAACTCACAAGAAACAACATAAGCAGAGTAAGTTGAAAGAGTTACATCTTGGTGGTTTCATTTTGTTATATTATTTTGACTTATGAAGAAACTTATTCTCTTTTATTTCATTCTTGTCTTTTTCTTTAGACATTCAAAATAAGGAAAATCTTGCTAAAACCATTCAGGTTAGTATCTTGTTCTAATTTTATTTAAATTTAAATTTACTACTTAAACTTGTGCTGAATATTTAAATTTAAAACTACTACTTAAACTTGTGCTAAATTTCCTTGGGTTGGCCGTTCACTAGATGATGATAATCAATTGATTCTGGAAGTTATTATTAACTTTATCATCAAAGTGTCTTTTTGCATATTCGATAAACTCAGAGAAAAAGAGGGACTTTATACTCAAGCACCTTTAAACTAGTGCATTTCGCGAGTACAAAAGTAAAATAATTTCAATTTAGTTGATCACATGCTGATTTTTTAGTTTTGTATTTGATTTTTTTTAAACAACTAGCTATAGAATAATAAATAAATAAATAGCTTAATTGCCACACATAAATTAAAAAAAAAAAAGAGAAAACTTAACATTATTTTGACTTACACTGTCCTTTGAAACAATTAAGTTTCAACAGTGCTGGATATTGTTCTAAGTGTACAAATCTTGTCTCTAGTAACCAAGTTGCAAATATTCACGTAGCAAAAAAATAAAAATAAAAAATAAAATAAAATTATAAGATATAATTCTACCTTTACAGTGTATTTTATCATAATTAGGTACCGCCACTCGTACAAATGTTAAAATTAAGAATTGTAGAAGTAAACATTAATCAGGATATTTAGGTGGCTATTTTTGCTTCTTTATGAAATTAGATCAAGGAACATAATTGCTTCCTTTATTTTGTTTATGTTGCAGGTTTTAGAGTGAATATGGTGGTGGTGGTGGCTGTGGCAATTTAGATCGTGTGTATATTGAAACATCATACTATTTGATATGGAAGTTACACAACTCAAAATGAGAATTCATAGAAAAATGCAACCGTAAAACTTAGATGATTTTAGTTTTATCTTTGACAGAAGAAATTACATGTTATTGCAAACTTGACAAATTAGTGTTGCCTTTTGAATGATATCATGATGGACAAAAAAGATTTAAATAAGAAGTTTATCTTTATTTTAATTCATTAAATGCATAACTTCATGCTTGCAAGTGTTACAATATAGTAAGTTTTCAATTCACTGTTTGAATTAATAAGGAAGTAATGGATTCAAAATTGTTATGATTTAGATGTTTAAAACAAATTTGTAACATTTGATAAATGTGGCAAAAGGTGTCAATTGACAACATTTATAAAATGTTACAAGTGATATGCTAAAATGTTACAAAAGATGTCAATTTGTAACATTTATAAAATGTTACAATTGGTATGTTAAAATGTTGCTAAAACCTTTTAGCAACATGGACTTTATACTACATTTGTAAAAGTGTTGCTAATTATGATTGGTAACATTTTTCTTAATTTGGTAACATTTTTTAAATGTTGTTAAATGTGAAAGATGTTGTAGTGTGATATAGTGATGACTGATGAACCTTCTTCAGAGTCTTCAACACCATGCTGTGATCACTTTGCATGCTCAAGGTCAATCACTCCTAGCTATATTATATGCTTCTGTTCATGCTGTGATTCATGTCCATATTCCTGTATTTCTACACGCTCAACATATACCATGGATGTGTCATTGTGTTTACATAACCGACTTTGATCTGCTACAATACAAGCCTTGCAAGTCCCTTAAGGCTTTGTTTATTATGTAAGGAATTAATGACTAAAGAAACTTGGAATAAAACTTTATGTTTTTGTGGCCTATATACATTGCTTTCAGCAAATCTGGCTCTTCTTTATTCTAATGCAGGATTTTGTCTATAGAAGAGCTGGATTAACCATCATGAATTTTAAGATGGTAAAAATGAGTTTTGACTTGCAACAAATTTTCACTGGTTTGACGATGTCATTGCCGGATAATTAATGCATGACACAATATAAATAATTAATATCAAAATAACCCAATCTAGGGGGTTTATATAGTGATGGGCCATTCTCCATATATTGGACCAAGTGGCCCATTAAAGTTATCAAACAAAAGGACTTTGTTGTTGTGTATTCATTGGCCCAGCCAAAACAAATAGAGCATGGCCATTATATATATTGGAGAAGAATACCGCGATGCACACACGACCAGTGCTGGCATGAGCACGGGTTGATGAGGCAATATTATCATTGGAGGAACATTGAAATAAATGTTATTTACTTTATATAATATAAAACTACAAATTTATATAATTAATTATAAAAAATATATTTGAGAAAAGAAATTAATTGTGTCAATAAATTTTTTTTATTAATCAATAAAATTCTATCAATAATTTTAGGAAAATAAATCAATAGTATTAAATGTAAAGAAAAAAGTGTAATATGTTATTAACTTTTTTTTTTCTTCCTCGGTGTGATATTTCATAAGTGTTTTCTCTTTATTTTCTTTTATCTATAATTTATTTAACTCTCATTCTATTTTTTCAATTGTGACCTATGTTATTCTACTAAAATTTCATAATCAAATTATGAACCTATATCTCTCCATCATGAATTTTTTTTGTAATGTATTATCATTATATTGATCTCTTTTACGTATAAATATATTGTATATTTAGTATTTTTTTAGTAATTATGTTTAATTATTTGTGTGTTTTATCTTGTAAATTAAAAATTGAGATCATGAGTAATATTTAAATAATTATTATAAGACATAATTTTTTTTTCTTCATTAAACTAGAGGCACCAAAACATTCAAAAGTGACGCTACACAAAACCAGGTTATTGAGGACTATTGCGTCATAGACAATAATAAGTTCTCATCATTGAATAAAAAGATAAATAAATACGAAGGGTATCTATAGATTGTCCTGAATGGCCACTACACCTAGCATCTCCTATCGAAGCATGTCTCACTGATTCATGATCAAGTGCAAATATTCAAATCCTTCCACCACATCCAAATAGTTTTGAATGACGTAATTCTTAACTATTCTCTACATAATATGTATAATATTATTAAAGTTTTCTTATTGATTTGAAAATACATGATGTGTATTATATAATGATTCATTGAGACTATAAATACTCAACCGTCTTTGACAGCTTAATAATTTCTTAGCTAGATCCCTTACTGTTCAGGGCCGACCCAATTCTAAAGCCAACAAAACTCTTGTTTTAGGCTCTTTCAATTTTTTTTAATATTAATAATTATATTTTTTTTTTCAAAGTTCCATGACTTAATTTTTTTTTTTTTTACTTTCTTAAAAATTCACTCTAAAAGTTTCATTTCTAAAAGATATACAAATACAATTAGTTTTTTAGTCCTATTTCTAAAATATTTTTTTAATCAAAATATATTATTATTGATTTAAAAAAATCTCACTTTAATCCTCCTACCACCCCTGGTATATAAATGTGTAATCTTAATGTTCTGAAAATTAATGGGGGATATTTAGTGTGTGTTTAGATAAGAATTGAGTTCAAATCAACTCACTTTAACTTTAAAGTAATAATCTTGTTATTTTTAAATTTTATGCACCGAAAAGTAAACAAAGATTATTACTTTAAAGTTAAATTTTCATAGAATCTGTTTAACTCACTTTAACTTTAAATTTTCATAGGAGACTAGTCTGTTTTTGTTCTTGTTATAACAAATAATTAACAAATGGAAGGGGCTTGTAGCAAAGGTTAAGAGGTGGTTAAACAGATTCTTAAACAAAGATTTTTTTTTTTTAAATGTTAAGATTTTCCAAATCAAGATAAAAAGGAGACGATCTATTTAGCGAGGAATACACGTTTGATTCTCCTTGTATGTAAAATTCGTGAGATCAATCATAATCACTGTATTACAAATATGAATAATCTCTGACCTTAGTAAACTAAAGATATTCATAATAGGACAAAAATAATTTTAAAAAAATGTCCATTCTTTAGTTGTGGAAGATAGGATGAGATTTGCGGAATTACAAGAAAAAAATGTTATTAAAAGAAGGGAAAAAAAAGTTATTAAAAGAAGAGAATAAAAGTTCAGGTAATACTGGATATATCAACACGATCGCTTAGATAGATTTTGAGATCTCATGTATGTACGATTTTCATGCCACATGGCACGATGATTTTTGTGGTTCCCTCTAGATTCGATCGGAGACTTCATTATTAATGCAGATACGTAGACGTTATTGTCATTAAAATTGGTCTCTCCTAATGCTAGGAAAGTGGTTTGTGACGATGTTGTTTGATGTGAGGCATCATATTTATGCTGCAATTATGATAGATTTTGGTGCATATTGTGCTGTGATTGTTTGCATCAAGCTTATCACAAAAGGAATGCACGTAAAGTTTTTCTGCCATATACGAAGTATGTGCTTTGCACGCTAATGACCTTCCTTCTTTGGAAACAAGCTCTTGTGGGAAAGGATTCTATCAAATGATAGGTATTGCATGTGTTTCTTTTTTATTATATGTTTTATGAGACTTTGTTTAATTTATATAATATCATGACTCATGAGATAGATTATGCACAATCTTATCATCAAATGTTCTTTTGGTACACTATCGCTTATCAAATTTTAACATATAGAAAACCCATTTATTTAATATTTATGATGAAAAATATTGATAACAAAATTTACACTGGACTCATTTGTCATAGATTAAAAAAAATTGATTTTAATATAAAATAATTTAAAGATTATGTTATAGAGATATTTTTAAAAAGTACGTAGAAACTAATTTATGTTTATTTACTATCATAAAAGCATTTTTTTTAAAGTGGCTTATTCTATGAAATTTGAACTGAAAATCGATCTATTCCTAGCTCCTTTAATAAGTGGGAGTTAACTTTCCTAGAAAGGGTTATCACTTTCTTTTTATAATTAAAAAAAAAAGCTAAAGAAAACTAGACACAAGACATTAGGGATTAATGATTAATTAATTATATTGAGATTATTTAATAATATTATGTAAATATTATATTATACTTGAAACTATTAATTCGATTTGATATAAAACTCATAAAACATGTTATAAAATGAATAATATACGTGATTTCATAAGAACAAAGATATGTACAGAAGTTATATTATTATTTTCAACAATGGAAACTACCGAATTTATAATATAAAAGTACATAGGTGCTTCAGGATCAATTTATACACATGGATTTTTTTAGAATAAATAATATATCTTCCAAAACTAAATAATATATTTATTTAACAAATTTTTTTTGTCAAATTTCTCACAATCAAATAGATAACATTACACCTTTTTTTTTCTTCTTCCTTTTATTCCCATCAATATATTACATTGCTCTAAGTAGAGTTCTGAATTCTTTAACTTTGAAGTTTGAAGGTTGTAGTTAAATAGAAAAATTATGGTAAGAGAGACTAAATTAAAAATAGTCAACTAAGTTTCCTGATAAAAAAATATTTAGTGACATGGATATTTCAACCTATATATATATACTACAGTAAGAAAATATTACACAGACATCTTCGATTAGATTAATAAAAATTTACTTTAAATTTAATTTAGAATTTCATTAAATATGTATCACTATGGTCAAACTAGAAATAGAAGATTAGAATAGTGTAATACTTAATGTACAGTAATACTTTTAGTAGACCTTAATTTGTTGATAACTTTAACATGTCATTAACGTCTTACTTGATAATATTGAGATGCCTTCTCATTCTATCATTTTAAATACTAAAAAAAAAATGTATGTTCTAACCTCAACGCGATGACTATTGTAAAAAAAGACATGTATGTAGGCATGTAGCTGCGTAATAATTGTATTTTATTTGACTCAATTTATATTAATTATGTTCTTAATTTTTAATACGCTATATCTAAACAATAATGGATGTGGTCTTATAAAAAGATGATGACAAGAACAAATCGCTCAAGATGAAGCCCACGTTGTTTGTTGATGTAATTGTCAAAATAAAGCTTTAAAATTGCCTTTTTGAGCACTAATGCAATAATACTCTCCCTGGCTTACGGAAACATACTCATGCATGATTCTGCTTTGTTTCACGAATTTTGTTTTAGGAAAAAGTATAAAAGCAAAAAATAGAAGAAAAAAAATATTTTTGATTTTTTTAACTATCATTCATAACTAGTAATTTTTGATATTATAACAAATTATATAGGTACTTTGATAGAGTTGGAAGACCCAAACGTATAATGCGAAGCCCACTTAGTGAGTGTAGATCACATATGTATCTTCTCTGTGAGAGTAACCAAAACACTCAAACATGACTATACATCAGCCAACATTGTAAAGCCTGAAGAGGCTAGGAAAAGAATACTCGTAAAGCCTGGAGGGGCTTGCCAAAGAATACTCACTGCTAGCCAGAAGTGGGTGATAAGAGAATACTAGCGTTGGTGAGTGAAGCCAACGGGCCAGGAGTGGTCGAGAATACTTGGAGAACCAGAAGTAGTTTAAGAATACTAGCGTTGGTGAGTGAAGCCGACGGACCGGGAATGGTCGAGAATACTTGGGGAACCAGAAGTGGGTTAAGAATACTAGCGCTGGTGAGTAAAGCTGGCAGGCTAGGAGTGGTCAAGAATACTTGGGGAACTAGAAGTGGTTTAAGAATATTAGTGCTGGCGAGTAAAGCTGGCGGGCCAGGAGTGGTCAAGAATACTTGGACCAGGAGTGGTTCTAACCTGGGTGGTTCATAATACTCACTGCTAGCCTGAAGAGGCTGAGAAGAAGATACTAGTGATGGTAAGTGAAGCCAATGGGCCAGGAGTGGTCAAGAATACTCAGGTCCAAGAGTGGACAACAATACTCAATGTTCTTCATTTTGATATCTAGTGGAACCCTTCAATTGAAAGAGACTGGATGTAGCTCAGTTGAGCAAACCAATATAAAATGATTGCATTACTTTTCTTGTCTAACTAGAAAAAAATCATTTTTACTAAGTAAATCTTTGTGAAAGACTTCATCCAATATTTACATATCGTTAAAACTATTTTTCAAACGAAGACACAATTGTTTAACAAATATATTACACTGAAAAGCTTTATCTACTGCTTGTTTTTTTTACGAAACTATCTTGACAAGAAAAGTGTAACAACTTCGATAATTACTATTATAAACCATTTTCCTCAACAGTTGATAAACCTATCAGACGCAATGACCTTATGTTAATCAAATTCTGGCTAACCGTCTAATATTCGAAAGTGCATTGGACGAAGTATATTACTCTTGCGAAAAATGTTTTCAAAATTCCTTCGTACACACACACACACATATTCAACCCCCCCCCTTTCTATGTGTTTTTCCGCTAACTTCAGATCCTAGTCCTACTTCTTGTATTACTTCCTTGGAGGTGTCCAAGGAAGGTAGTTTTCTTGTCTTTAGGACTCCTTCTCCCCTAGTTGTTTTAATAAAGCACCCAATGTTGGGTTTATATTGTTTGATAGATACATCTTGTCGTGTCTTATATTCTATGTTTGATCTTATGGGAAGTTCACCTTAATTTGAACTTAATTTGACTCATTCCCTACAAGACAGAGATAGATTATGAGTTTTCAAAACTCCGTTTGACACTGAATATTCATGACTATCTAACAAACATTATAATCCAAGATTGTTTAGGAAGTTTTCTAGTAGTATTATCTTTCCTTTCAAGAAGTTTTTAGGCAAGATGTTTTAGTTATTAGGATTAACTATTTCAATTGTTATAGTCTTAGTTTTATCACATTTTTGGGCTTTAGCTACACACATAGACTTTGCTTAGGAAAGGATCATATCCCTACCCTTAGAGAGTATAGTTTCATTAGTGTAAATTTCTTTGGTAAGATATATAGAAGGATTTCTCTTAGGGTGTATCCTCCATTTTTACCATTGGAACATGTAACCTCTCATGCATGCCATTTTTTAATTGTAGGTAATGATATCTATCATAGAGACCCTCGTGATTTGAGGACAAATCCTTTTCAAGAGAGAGGGGATGATGGAATCAATTGGATGACTTGTGAATTGGCACCGAGGGTGCTTGCATCCATGCCTATTTAATCTTCTTGCCTTCACTCTTGTATTCACTTTTGCATATATGCGAATTTTGAGTTTACTTCAACCAATTCTCTCCCAAAAGTCACTGAGAGTTCACTAGCTTAGCATTAGGAATCCAAAGCTTTATAATCCTAAATCGTGCGCACTCCTTTGTGGATTTTTCTTGAGTGCTTCCTTCCTTAGCCTAGGATCACTCATAGTGTCATCAATTCTTGAAATTCAAGTTCAGATTCAAGCCTCAAGGAAGAAGATCATATCATTAGAGCAAGGAAAAGAAAGATCTTCTTCCTTGAGGCTTGAATTCGGACTAGAATTTTCAGAATTGATGACATTATGGAACATCAATGTTCATGGCCTCAACTTCAGTTTTATGGGTGATGATGGTTGGTTAAATAGAACCTTTCCCTGAGGGGTAGCTTGAGGTTCCTCTACCTCTAGAGTCAAGGATGCCTCTTGCATCACTTGATCTTGGGATCCTTGGACTGTTGGGTCTAGCATAACTTGTGTCTAAGGTGCCTACTAGAGCTTATCCTGAGCTTAAGTCTATGTCTATGCAATAGACAAACTAATTGTAGCCTCAAGTTGTTAAACTTCTAGGGTTGAAAAAATAGCATCTTCCATAGTCTTATACTTAGCTTCCTCAGCAAAGAGAGCCTTTAAGTTTTTCACAACCTGTTCTTCGTCAATGTCAGCTTGAACTGGTCTAGGTCCTTTGACGAGACGTCTTTTCTGCTTGGGTGGAGTCTGTGCTTGTGAAAGGGAAAACGAAGGAGATGTAGATAAAATAGGGGCTGGTTGAGGTTGTTGTTGTGGTGGTGCTGGTAAGGTTGGATGGTGGGTGGACTAAGCTCTAATCTTTTGGGGATAAGGGGAGTTTCATCTAAGTCAGATGAAGACACATAAATCCATAGAGTTTTGGGTATAGTGATGTAGGTTTGGATTGTGTTTGGGGTGTTGTTTGTGGTTTTTATTTTTACTATGGTTTCGGGAGAGGTTTAAGTTGAGGGTTCGACTATGTAAGCGTATGGACTAAGGCACTTTTGGTGGTGCGAGAGGGAGCACCAGTTGCTGAAATGGGGGGGTTCCTCCCTTGTTTCTTTCATCACCTGAATTTTTATCTTCTTGATAGATGAAAAAAGATGAGCAATACCCATTCTCCTGAGGGTGGTCATAATCATTTCTCCTCCTTTAGGACCAACTTGAAGCTCCTGTGTATTAATCATAGCTCGCTGAATAATATTTGTGAAAAGCATCCCATAGGGAGTGGGTGCTCTAATGATTCAATCCTACCTCCTCTGCCTAAGGCAGGACTTTGATCGGTGATAGATCAAGGTAGGCATATTGATCTTCTCACTAAGGTTGAGGTAGTATAGACAAAACCTATCCAAGTTTGTCGCATGATCTCTCAACCCTGTTCTTGGCAAGGACGTATTGAATAATAAGTTGTGAAATAACCTACACAGGGGAGTAAGGTTAGTAGCCTCGAGGAACCCTTTCAACTTACCCTTGTTAGATGGGCAAGGCCCATTGCTGTAGATTACAACATCCATAGTATCTTGGATGATGACCAATTCCCAATCGCCAGCGTGGATTTTTCCTTCCTCTCTACATTTAGATATAGTGGCAATAACCAGGGGTTTGATTCTGATGGTCTTATTCTCTATGGTTCCAGTTATGGAGTTGGGTTCCTGGAATGCTGATGCTTAGAAATTGGCATATGGAGCATGAAACCAATCACATTTCATTTCAACAAAGAAGGTTCATCCTGCACTATCTAAATAGTGTTTTGATTATGAAGTTGATGCCTTTTTAGAAAGGAGAAAAATTGGGTACAATATTATAAATATTATTGATACTATTTTTCAATTAGAATTAGAGTTTCACCTAGGTAAGATGAGCAAATGTATATTATCAAGATCTGTATTAAATATGAATGCATATTACCATAAAACTCCAATTCTGATTGAAGAACAATACTCATGGTATTGTACCTAAGTATTTGAAAATAACCAATGATCTATGATGGTTACATACCCTGTAATCCAGATAGTATGCATGCTGCAGTAAAGAAAGAGAGTCAGTTAATGATGACCTTATAAAAAGAGGTTTTCATTATGTATTTTGCATGTGCATGCTTGTTGTTTTTGCGTTGTAGGCGAGACAAAGAGAGAGGCATACCTCCCACAAATCCAAATTGATAATTGGCTGCAAGAGAAAAGATGATTAACTCCATTTCCAATATTAAATCAAATATTTTATGGAGGAAAGTGGAAATTAACTTACTATGTCATCCCACACAATTGGGCAAATGGCATTTGAAGTTTTGACTATGGCTAGCCGTTTCTCTTCTCTCTTCACTGAAATAGCCAATGAATACTAGCATCAATCACCCGCATCATTAAAGCAAAATATAAAACAATGTTACATTTAGTTCTACTCTATCCCACAAATCTTACAATGCAATTGTTCTTGAACTAAACCAGCTAATGAGGAAAGAATAGTTACAACCACAATCACAGAATTATTGAATATTCTCAATTAGTATTTAACAATCACTCCAGAAAAAAATAATAATAATAAATGAGGCTCTTATTTTTAAATTTTACATTTAATACATTTAACTTAGACATGTATATCATAAGGGAAATCCAAGGATTTTATGGAATATTAAGAAAATAATATGTAATTTGAATAATTTGAACATTATTTTCGAAGGATTGGGAGAACACAGAACGAAGGATCAATTAGGAAATAGGAATGGACTTACAAACTAGCCAAACCCAACCAGAACCAAATAATGTTAGGGCAGCTCCTATAAATTTCTCTCTAAAATTTATAAATGATCCGAAATCCTTTTCAATCTGTTGAAGGAGACCTAGTGTGGGCATATTACCCCCACCTGGCTGCATGGATTCCCAGAAGAAGTCATGATTCCAAACCTGAGTGGAAGGGGCAAAAAATAATTAGGATCTTTGCTTAAAGCATACAAAGGTCCTATCCCTCCAACAACAGTAGTTTGCGATAACAACTCCCCACCAAGCACACTGCGTACACCTCAAGCTATCATCGCACAGCGCAACATTACCACCTCGGAATTGGGAGACCAATACCAAGTTCTAGTTGAATGGGACGGGAAGCCACGTGAAGAAGCTACTTGGGAGTCATGGGATTTATTGGTTGAACTCTATACCAAGGCAGCCCTTGAGGACAAGGTCCTTTTCCATGGGAGGGGTACTGATACACCCCAAGAAAATAGGAAGAAAGAACCGAGAATTAAGGGAGCACCATCATGGGCAACATATTTTGTTATCTCATGATTACTTTATTTTATCTTTATGTTTATCAATTAGTTATTTGATTCTGCAATTTAAATTATTATCTTAGTTATCTAGTGCATGGAAATAGGATGTTAGTTACATGCACACTTTTAAATAAGACCATTATGTGGACTATGCAGAGGAAGAAAATAAGAATTGTGTTTAAGAGAAATTCTTCTCTTGTGGAGTTCTGGGCTTGACTCGAATAAAGCTCAACAAGCTCCATCAACTTATTCAATATTGTCGATCTTGATGTCTTTATCGGGGCTTTTTGACTTTAATAAAATAAAAATTATTAGAATACGTGATTTTTGCCAACATATATATATATATATATATATATATTTCTATTTTTTTGTAATTTTTTTTGTGATATGCGGACTGGCCCACCGACTCGTCAACCCGTCCTTAGGCGGGGCGGGCCAGCGTTTTCAACCTGTTTCTTATTGGGGGGGCCGGACCAGCCCAACCCATTTTTAGTGGGTTATTGGCGGGCTGGGCCAAAACGGGCCGGATTGGCCCGTTTTGCCACCCCTAGCATCAAGTTTCTTTCAACAAAACATGCAACAAATGAATGACAAATATTTATTAAAGTATGATGATATAGTTTTAGCAACAATACATACAAAACTCTACATTGAGGCTTGAACATGTTAAACATACAATCAATGACATAATTTTGCGTTTATTTATTTTATTTTTATTTTTATTTTTTTTATTTTTTAATTTTTTTTGTTTCTTAGAAAACATATGTATTATTTATATAAAAACATTATTTTCGCTGCTGAAAATCAAAATATTTTGACAGACAATATTCAAACCTTCAAAATAATAAGAAGGCTAAATTGCACTTTAATTTTGATCCCTTTATAATATCAAATCCGTAGTTTGGACCTCTATACTTTTAATTATACAATTTTAGTCTTTCAATTATAAATGTAACGATCCATCATGTATTCTATACTTAATAGAAATCACCTACTAGTAGCAAAAAATAACTACTACTTAAGGCTATCATATAAGTAGTTCCCAAATATATTAGTAACAATATATATATATATATATATATATATATATAAAAAGTGCAATGGATATACATATACAAAAATTTACATCGACATCTAATCCAAAACGATTCTCTCTTCTCATACCTGTTGACACCCCTTTGATGCCCAACACTAATCTAACTAGAGCTAATTCTCTCACCCCACGCTCAATGCAATTCAACTCACGCTTGATCCCAGCTTAACTTGAGATTACCTTCAAGTTGTTTAATTTTAACAAAATTTGATATACACATATAAAGTGATATGAATTTTTAATCTAACGGTTGGATTTACAAAATTCACAATTAATATAAAGTTATTGAGTGGTGTAATACTTATTAAAAGTTATACCGGTGTAATTATAACCCCCTCATATATATAAAGTATTAATATTTTAGTGTATTTTGAAATGAATATATCACGTCAATTTTATTTTATAAAAATGAAGTATCAAATTGTCTTGGATTAATATAAAATTTTGTATATATGATCTAAGAGATATGAACTTTCAACCTAACAGTTAGATTTACAAAATTCACATTTAATATAAAGTTATTGAATGATGTAGTATTTAGTAAAAGTTACACCGGTATAATTATTATATATATATATATATATATATATATATATATATACAATTGACTTAAATAATTTATATAAATAATATATTTTTAATTTAAAATTATATATTTAATTATTAATTTATACAATTTAAAGAACCTATGATTTGATTATTCTATTATTATTATTATTATTATAATTATATTGACTATAATTTTTTTAGAAATTTCTTTGAGGTATAGTATACTACTAGGTCATGTGATTAAATTAATGATTCACTAATTCAATCTTTAATTTATTAACTTAGTATCTTAACTTGATTTAATAATTAATTCGATATTTACAATATTACATAAGAGAATAAAAATAAAAAAAAATTATACATTAGTTCCTTTTACTTTAAGTAGAAATGGCAAAGCTCATGTAGTTGAGGACGACGTTCTTTTTGTATATTACAAAAGCATGTCCAATAACCTTTTTTCGACTCATAATTTAGATGTGAGAAGGACACAAATTTAATCTTCGTCCACTTTGGTTCCTTTTGACCATTTCCCTTTTCATTCTCGCCAATAATTTGGAAAGGTAAGATGAGATAAAGTATGGTACCCTTAATATTTTTCCAGAAAAGTTATACATCACTACTAGAAAAATGTCATTTTTCTGTAAATTTTTCTAAAAAAAATATTTGTAAAATTTTTTTGCAAATTTTCTTGCAATAATAATTTCACAAAAAAAATTTACGAATTTATTTGTGAAAAATTTATATGTGTATATCAAATTTTGTTAAAATTGAACAAGAACTTGAAGATAATCAAAGTGTTCATATTTTAGTATATTTTGAAATGTATATATTACGTCAATTTTGTTTTATAAAAATGAAGTATCAAACCATCTTGGATTAATATAAAATTTTGTATATATGATCTAAGAGTAAAGAACTTTCAATCTAACGGTTGAATTTATAAAATTCACATTTAATATAAAGTTATTGAACGGTGTAATACTTAGTAAAAGTTACACCAGTCTTATTATAACTCTCCTATATATATATATATATATATATATTAACATAATAATAAAGAGGATAAAAGTCAAAGTATTGAATCCACATAGACTTGGATTTATAGTTGTTTAATATAATATTTGTACCAAATAGATAAATTACTAAGAAATTAAATTTATTCAGGAAAAAAATGTTTAAACACAATAGAATAATTGTGAAAAAGTAAATTGCAATGAAGGTTAATTAATAATTAAAGTAGTTCGAGAATGATTCATTAACTATCTCTATGTAAAATCTTATTGTTTTTAATTCAACATTGCAAGTATACAATTAATTTAACAACACTATTGCATTTAAACCTTAAATCATTAAGTAAGAAATTCTAGGTTCTTAAAGAAAATATCAATTTCTCAATAATTTTTGTTAAAGAACACTATATTAAGGTCAAAGGCTTAAAGTCGACTAATGAGGTTTATCTCAATTCTTTGATAATAAATGTCATTAATGTTTTAGCTAGGTTTTAATTTGAAAAGAGTTTTTCAACCTCAATTAAAAATTATAAAACTGTGATGAGGTTAATCAGGTCACAACAAACATTAAGTATATAAGATTAAAACAATTAATTGAATAAATGCTTTATTGAATGAAAAATAAGGAGAAAATTACATAGCTCAAGTAGTTAGCTTAATCCCCAACTATAGAGAACGTAACTACTTATGACTAAGGATTACAACTCTAGATGAATCTTTGGGCAACCCATGATTACAATGTTGATCTCATAGAACCCTCTCTAGATTTGTACTTAAAAAAATGTATTACCATTTGAACTACCCAAGAGACCTCTAGAAACTCTAATTTTATAATAATGTTTTATGGATTTTTGGGTTGGATCTAGTTGCTCAAGGTGTCCATGTTGCTCACTTTGAGGGACCAAGTGAATACTTTTAGGGGCATCCTCTATCTTTGCTCACTTAAAGTGAAGTTGTTAAGTTGTGAGTTGTGCTATTGTTGACAGGTGTTTTTGTTGCCTTTGTTGTATTATTGTATATATGCTATTTCTTTCATAACCTTACTTTTTTTTTTCTCCTTATGGTTGAGACTACGATGACCATACCTGGTATTCAAGTAGGGCAAGATTAAGTGGTTAGCTGGATTGATCGATGGTGAGTCACATTGGAGGTGGCTTGTTTTACATGACTCCTCTGCTGTAATCATGGTTTAGAATGCTTGATCGACCGTCTAGAGGATATATATTTTGTAATAATTTAGTCTATGATGTATACAATTTATGTACTGAATTTATATATGTTATGTATATTGCATACACTTTACTTTATGCATGTTTTAACTTTCGCTCGATGTCAATTTTCTGCGGTAAGTGCAGTGACTTGATAAATTATTATAATATTTTTTATGTTGACTTTGAGAGAAATGAGGTAAACAAAAATAGAGAAAGAAAAATTTTAAATTGTTACTTTTTTTAGGAGAATTTTAAATTCTACATTTTAATTTTTTTTTACAAATATTTAAGTTTTAAATCTTTTATAAATTTTTTACTCAAACAAAACATTTCACGTTAAAATATTTAAAAATTTATTAAAAATAAATTACTTCATTCTCAATTAACTCTCGGATAATGTGAAAGGCAAAGTTAAAGAAGCAACCAAGCAAAAGTCACATTTAAATTAATTAATATATTGTAGCCCCGAGGAGTTTGGTATTAGAACTTTTGGTTATATATAAATATATGGACATTTTTTCAGAACTGCAAGGATATCTGACATGTGAAGCACATATTAATTCCATGCGAATAATAAACTTTGCATATTCCCACAACAGACACAGTGGCCGGCTTCTTTCAACTACCTAGTAGCTACACCGATGAACCTACCTAATTTAATTGTAAGCATGCATGCAAGCATATTAACTTGGTGTTAGGCCATCATTATAGAAAGAAAAAAGAAAAAAAAGAAGGCATAAAAGTATTCTGGAATTTCTTGTAACTAATTATTCTAAAGTTATGCATATGAATAAACTAACTATATTATAATAGAATGATCTATTTCGTGAAAAATTAATATTAAATTTAAAAAAAAAAAAATTTGTGTGAAAAATTTTCAAGTAAAAATAATTACAATACTGCGAATAAGATTATTATTATTTTATATAAATAGACTAAATAGATACTCATAATAGGGCAAAACAAATATATAAATAAAAACTATTCTAAATTAAGATCCATTCAACTTAAATTCTATTCTAATTGAGGATGTATTTAAATAAGGGTTTGTTTGAATAAAATTTTTCTAGAAGCACTTCTAAAAAGAAAAAAAAAATAAGAAGGAAAAATAAAACAAGTTTTTTTTTATAAACTAAAATTAGCTTTTGAATAAATTAAAAATAAATTTTTGGAGAAGTTGTATGAAATAATTTCTACAAATTAACTTATACATAAGCTAATGTTAGTTTATGTAAAAACTTATTTCATTTTTTTTTCTTCCTATTTTTTTTATTCTCCTAGAAATCTTTTTGAATAAGTTTATGTAAATAAACCCTAAATAATTCAATTAAGTGTTTATTTAATAATTTGTTATCACAAGATGATTTTATTTCATTAATTTGATAATGAAAGTTGTTAAAAAGAACTTATTAATTAGAATTATTAATTATTTTATAAATTTTATATAAGTTTCATATATAAACTCTTCCAAAGATTCCCTTATTGCAGAGAGAGATATATGTTAGTGAGTTCTTTGCATATTTTATATGTTCTCATTGAAGGTTGAAATTTGCCGATTTTAGATTGAAAGAATCATCTCCTAATAACACTAAAAGATGTAATGAAAATATTTGGTTTAAAACTTTAAATGAATAAATTATTATTGAGTAAACTGATGCTACTTTATTAGCCCTAAATCACGATTTTTTCTTCTTCTCATTAGACTATTAATTTAATGAATATATGAAAATAAATTGTGCAAAACCTCAGCCATTCGAAAACACCGAGGGTTGCAAAATCTTTGCTGAAAGCAGCTCAGTTGATGTTTAAAACTAGAACATCGCTGTAGTGTTGGGCGGGAAGTTAGAAATGGATCCCTTTGTATTCCATTAATTTTTCCAATTAATGTCCCTAGCTACGTTCTAATCAATAGAGAATTTTTCACTCTAACATGTATGTTTTTTTTAAACCTTTTTATATATTTTCTTTGGGTGAGTGGCCGAAAACAAAAGCAAAAGTAAATACATGTCACATAATTATGAGAATAATAAAATATATAAAATAAAATAAGGCATATGAAAAAGATAAATAAAATAAATAAATTATAAAAATATGAAGAATGTTAACAACAGTCTTTTTCTAACACTTTATCTACCATTAGTTGAATTTATTAAAAATTACAAATTTTAATAAGTGACCCACCACAATTCATTAAATAAGTTATGAGATCCACCAAAATTTGTAACTTTTGAAAAATTTTTAGTCAATACAAAAATTAAAGTGCATATTACTGGCATTTCACTAAAAGCATTAGTAAAAAAATAGCACAACTTATTTCAATGGGGGATTTTCTACAGTTAAAAAACCCGTTAAATGCACAAAATTTCACAATTTGTAAATAGAACATTACCAACATATACTAACATTATCTTACATTTTATTTTGGACACACTTTATTATTTATTAAAAATTATAAAATTACGAGTAAGACCCCATATATAAAAATAGGAGATCTATAAATTTTAATCAATAATAAATATTATATTAAAAAATATATTATATTTTCCATACGATTGTAAAGAGTATTTTTTACTATTCACTCAAACAAATATGCTTATGTAAAAATACTGAAAGGTTCCCTATTAAATTCAAACCCCTATCCACTTATTTAATAGATCCAAACCCATTACTACTCATATCATGAACAAGTTGTTATTGTATTTAGAAGAGCGAATTAATACCATTTATTTAATTTATTAATATTCAAGCATACTTTTTAAAAGTAAAACAAGAATTTCACGACTAAACTTGATTTTCTCCGTAACCACTAGCACTAGCAAAGCCTAGTTGGCAACATATCTTTTGCTTTCCATTTTCCACTCACATGATTTTCCACTATAAATAGAACTTCCTTGCTAGGAGGAAGAATCTAAAAGGATCACGGCATATATATAGAGAGCATTGAAGTAGCATTGAACCACACACACTCACGTACAACTCATAAGTAGAGAAAGAGAGAGCAAAGAATTTAATAATGGAATGGAGGAAATATTATCTGGATATGATGCTTGTACCATTAGGATATCTGGTAACCGTTGCTTATCATGCTTGGTTGTGGCATAAGACTCGCACACAGCCTTTTTCCACCACACTTGGAATCAATGCTCATGCTCGACGCTTCTGGGTTCCTGCCATGTTGAAGGTATGCAAATTTATAATCATGTCCATCAAAATCTTAACTACAAATACCTATTGTGTTTTGTTTCTTCATCCTTATCACTCTCAATGAAAGCATTGTCATAGAACTAAAGCTACCACTGTATTTAAAATTCTAAACTTATGTAAATCCAACTTTTCAATTTCATTTATTAGTTTTTCATAATATATATCGATCTTCATCTCCATAAAGAGCATGCTTGAATGCAAAATATATAAGTGCTAATTTGAGATATTTTTTTATTAGAAAAAAGCTCTTTAATTTATTAGAGAAGTTCTTAAAAGTTTTTCATCCAATCAGACTTAAAGTAGGGCACATACTTTGTCACTTGAGCTACTTTAGCTCCCTTTGTTACTTAGACGCTGGAGAGTGGAGACAATATATTATTGAAAGCATATATAACTTAACTATTCGTTGGTCAATATAGTTAACAAGGCTTGTGTTAATTTGGGGAACAAATCTAATGGCTGGTTAAGGTGCGATTTTGATTTCTTTGCCAACTTAGTTGTTTTATGCATGCACCAAATTTGACGATATCTCGTTTGCTTGATCAAGACTGTGTTCACTAGTGATGCTTGGAATTGTGAAAAAAAGCCTCTTTAAAAGCACGCTGTATTTGAAATGTTTTTGTTTATCGGGGAAACTTCAATACACTTTGTAATAAAAATGTTTTTAAGAGTTCCATTAATTAATTTAAAAATCGTGCATATATTGTATTTTTCATGAATTTCAGGGACCTATCTTTGCTATGATGTTTATCAGTTTAGAATCTTGAATATTTGAGAGAATCATCATAAAATTGCCGGCTCAGGGTTTTGTTTTGTTCTTTTTTTTTACTACGAAGTCTGGTCCCTTTTATTTTATTTTATTTTTGCAAAATATAAACAGTCACTTTCATTTAGAAGTGGGGGTTGTTAATTTCATTAAGAAAAAAAAAAAAGTGGGTGATGACTCCACTTCCATTATTTCGTGGTCTGGTTGAAAATGTTTACGGTCACAGTCTATTACTTTAATTTAATCTTTTTGGCCTGAATGGTAATTAGCTAAGTGGGTCACCTTTTCTTTTCCTCCCAAATCTGAAGACTCTTTTCACTTAATTCTGAGCCATAAAATAAGCTAGTATTTTAGAAAAGAGTAGCTAGATATTCCTTGATGTCCATATGACCATATCATATAAAGTCTAGGATTGGTTAGGAAATTCGTTGAATTGGGTTGAATGGATATATTTTTCATTCTGATGCAAGAATGCGAAAAGAATGATGGTGTTGGATTAGCATTTAGTCCAACATAAGTGCTATATATGCACACACTTAATCACAAAACATTACTAAACATGTTTCTCGGACATCATAGTGGGATAACAAAATGTTCCTTTAAATTTTAAATTGTAGGGTATTTAAGAAATCAAATGTTTATAAAAAATAAAAAAAGTGAAAACATAGCTAGGTATATAATTATATTCAGTGTTACAAACTGCATGAATTTTTTTATCTTCAATTGTAATTGAATTCAAAACATTATAACCATGGCAGGACATTGAAAAGAAGAACATCCTAGTAGCTCAAAGTCTTCGGAATCTGATCATGGGATCAACCCTTATGGCCACCACAGCCATTCTCCTCTCAGCAGGCTTGGCAGCAATCATAAGCAGCACTTACAGTGTGAAAAAGCCTCTTGATGATACCATCTATGGTGCTCATAGCGAATTTATGGTATCACTCAAATATGTGACACTCCTCACCACATTCTTGTTCTCATTTTTCTGCCACAGTCTTTCAATAAGGTTCCTAAACCAATTGAGCATCCTTATTTGCACACCACAAGATGCCATGTCATTGGTGACCCCAGAATATTTAACTGAGATTTTCGAGAAAGGTACCATTTTGAACACAGTGGGAAACAGGATCTTCTACTCAGCACTTCCTCTTTTGCTTTGGATCTTTGGGCCACTGCTGGTTTTCTTGTGCTCTATTGCCATGTTGCCGGTGTTTTACAACCTTGACTTTGTTTGTGGGAGGGTGAAAGCAAAAATGGTGCTGAATGATAGAAGTGACTTTGCTTGATGATATATTATTATGGATTAATTGTATTTTTTTTCACTCAATTTTTATATTTTGGTAAATTTTGTTATCTAACTTTTAAAATTATACATTTTGTTACATAATTTTTAAAATTTTGTATATTTTATCATTCTATTAGTTGATTATTTGATGTCATTTGTTAACTATTGATATGATATATTGATTATTGATGTGACATGTTAATTGTTGACATATTACATTATGTTATATCATTATTGATATACATTAATAATCCACAGTAGTGGTTGACATGTCATGCTAATAATTAGTAAATTATATCAATAATTAACATATCTTATCAATAATCAATTAATAAGATGATAAAATGTACATAATATTGAAAGTTAGCAACAAAATATGTAATTTTAAAAATTAGATAGCAAAACATGCAAAAAAAATATATAAAAAATAAGTGAAAAAAAAATACAATTAAACCTATTATCATTTAGCTAGGACTAAGAACATGGAATGGATAAGATTATTGGGTATATATGTGTCATGATGCGTATCTGTCGTTTATCTTTTACAACTTTAGGTTGTAAAGGTAAATAGTATTTCAGTCGGACAAAGCATAAGCTCATGTAGAAGCGCTTAACCGAAATAATTCAAATGACTTTTGATAAATGGCTTTGATTATGATTACCATTATCTAACCTTTCTTTGCTTATCTTTTTTACTTTCGTTTTGGTGAATTCTATATCATTTGTTTTTTTTTCTCCTGTCCTTAATCTTAATATGTAAAAATACTAAAAAGAAAATGATGACATGGCTAATAATATTTCAAGTAATTGACACAGTGAAATTAGACATTTTAAAAAACCTAATTCTGATACCACTTTAAAGGAAATAAATAGAGGAGTTTAGAAAGAGAAACACTTAAAGCTTGACTTTATTTGAATAATTGTCTCAAATTTTGACTCATCACGTAAATACACATTAGCATCTATATTATATATATATATATACAAAACATTTTTTTTGTACATATATAAGACATTTTTATGCATGAGACATGGAATATAAGTGTTTGAATATAAAGATATATGCAAAGCTTATATGAAATCCAAGCATATCAGGATTTGGGGTTTCATTAGGAATTTATGTAGTAATTGGCTTTTGGATTTTTTTTTTAGTAATTGTGGTGTTATTATTAACATGCATGCATAACTTTTTCTATCTATCATGGTTTGAGTAGCTTAGAATGTTAGCTTTAGGAAGATCATATGTGAGACTGGTTCTTTAATTTATATAATTTAATCTAACAAGGTTATCCTCTTTGAAATACATGCAACTCTTATTACCAAAATCAAATCTATTGGTGAACAAGCTTGACAATTTTCTTTTCATCCCACCTTAAGAAAGAAAAATCAATGTGCAAATTGGTTAGCTAAACAAAGTTCATCTTGTTCAGATATTTTTGTAATATGAGATACTTGTCTTCTAAAGTTATAAGTTTTATTATTTTGGTTGATATCATGGATGTAATTTTTTACTAGACCTTAGTTTGTCTCGTATTTTACTCAATGATAAAAAAATAATATAAAGATACATGCAAAAATAAAAACCATGAATCTTAAAATACATAAAAAAAACAACTTTAAATAAATTCTCTACTATATTACTTATTTTAGTTCCAACAAGATGTAACAATAATATATAGAAGAATTGAAGGGACAAATTAAATATAAATTTTTAAAGAGTTATGCTAAAGTTAAATATATATTATAAATTAATTTTTTTTGGATTAATATGACCCCAAAATCATACATTATAGTTCATTTGATCTTGTCTTTGAACGACCCAAATTAAAATATAGAAAGTTATGTTAGTTTTTTTTTTTTTTTTCAAAACTCACATGACATTTTAAGTAGTTTCATGACATTAAGTTTATATGTGTGACTTGAATATTATTATGGCTGAAGAAAGAAGTTTTGGAGGGAAAGAAGATTTGGGAAATTGGAAGATCGGTAGGTATGTCGTACGGTGAAAATGAGGAAAACTTAATAAGTAAATTGATGGAATTAGAGGAAACAAAGTCAAGGCATAAGGGAGCTCGATAGATGAGTAAGTGAGAAATTTACATATTAATAAATGAATATCATGTTATACAACATTAGAGATTTGGGGGAAAGGGAAAATGAAGATTTGTGAGGAGTCTGATACAGAAGGAAGAGGTTCAAATTCTATGTTTGCAAGGGACAAAGAAAGCAAAAGTAACTAGTCATTTGTTCCTTTTAGTGTGGGGGGATAGAGAAGCGGAGTGGACGATGGTCCCTACAGTGAATACAACAGGGGGTCTATTATGTGTGGAATAAGAAAAGCTTGGATGTTATTTCCCAATTTAAGAGCACTCTAGATATATTGGATTGGAAGGTGCTTGGAAAGGAACTGAGACACAAATTATTATAGTGAATATCTATTCACCATGTGATAGAGCACATAAGAGGAGGGTCTGGGAAGAGCTAAAACAAAAAATGGGAAACAAGTAGTGTCAGTCTTTTGTGTGTATTAGGTGACTTCAATAGTGTTAGAAGTGCTTCTAGAGACAAGGGGGATAATATGCGAGATTATGGCATTGGAGACAGAATTGAATTTAATAATTTTATCCAAGATATAGGGCTTAAAGACATTCCTATGGTTGGAAGGCAGTTTACTTGGTACAGCCTTAACAAATCAACATAAAGTATGATTAACATGGTTTTAATCTCGAGGGAGTGGACTAGCACTTGGCCAGGAAGCAAGCAAATTATCCTAGATTGAGACATATATATTAGATCATTGTCTGGTGCTGTTCACGAATTCAGTCATGGACTAGGGCTCTAAATCATTTCAATTGTTAGTTTGATGATAAAGAGTTTTCAGAATTTGAAAAATCATGGTGGAATATGGAAATTCTAGGTTGGGGGGCTTTTATATATATTAAAGGAAAAATTGAAAGATCTTAAAAGGAGGTTGAAATTTTGGAATATGAATCTACACTTTATGCACAAGAAAATTGTAGCAAAAATGAATACCTTGGATAAAAAAAAAAGGAGACTGAGGGACTACAAGAGGTGGAAGTAATATTGAGGAAAAATAATTGTAAGAAGAATTCTAGAGCATGCTGGTTTAAAGTGAATTATTGTTATCCCAAAAGTCAAGAGCTAGAACGATGAGACATGGGGACATGAATACCAAATTTATCCACATGCATGACAATGAATTGGAGGAGGAGGAAATAATTTGTTGGGATTCATAATTGATGGATCTTGGGTGCAAGATCAAAAGGAAGTGAAAAATGAGGTGAATTTTTTTCAACATAGATTTAATGATGAATTATAGAATAGGCCTAAATGGTGTTTGAAATTAAATCTTTATAAAGAAAAATGTTACCATAATTTTCTCTTTTGAGGAAGAAGAAATTAGGGAGATGGTGTGGGAATATGACAATTTGAAGAGTTCAGGACCTAAAGATTTTAACTTTAAATTCATTGAGGCTTTTTAGGGAACTTTGAAGGGGGACATTATAAGATTTCTAAAGGAATTTCATGTTAATGTAAAACTACCAAAAGGAATTAACTCATCTTTTATTTCCTTAATACCAAGAGTAGATCATGATCCACATAGCTTTGGGGACTACAAGCCTATATCTTTGGTGGATTGCATGTATAAAGATTTGGAAAAAATTCTTGTAAAATAGAATAAAAAAGGTGTTGCTAACAATAGTTAATCATAGATAGAGAACTTTTCTAGGATATATGAATCTTCTCTATAGCATGGTGGTTGCAAGTAAGGCTATTGATGAAGCCAAAAGAAAAATGAAAAATGAAAAATGTTTTTTTTGTTCTTCTTTACATTGGATTATGAAAAAACATATGACTCTGTTTGTCAAATTTTTTATTGTAGATGTCAGAAAGGTTGGGCTTCTGCAAAAAATGGGTGGAATAGATAAGAGCATGTTTAGAGTCGGGGTTTGTTTTAGTACTTGTGAATGGTAGTGCGACTGACAAGTTCAACCTAAAAAAGAACCCAAGCAAGGTGATCCTTTAGCACTATTCTTGTTTCTCGTAGAAGATAAGGTTTTTAGTTAGAGATAAATAGATGAAACATTAGTACAAAAATGGCTTTTAAAATCGAGATTTTAAAATTGGTCATCAGAGAGAAAAACATAACAGAGAGAAACTGAACTATGAGATCATAGATCTCTAGGGTGCCATTACTGGATACGCAACTATGGATTGAGCAGCTCTTGTGCAGCGCCTTCTTGGCATGACACCCCCTGAGTCAATTCTTGTTGGCGGTTGATTAAGGATGAGCTAGATTGACCGACACTTCTCTAATGTATTTGGGCATGTACATAGCCAGGAGCAGTTGGAACGCTATACTAGAGCATTCATTTTATGCATGATCGGGGGGATATCTATTAACTGATCACTCTAGCTCCTTTGTATCCCTCAAATACCTGGCTTTGCTAGAAGACTTTGATGCTTGTGGTCGTATGAGTTGGGGCTCATGTGTGTTGGCAAATATGTACATGGAATTCTGCGTGTGCACCAATTATGATCACAAGGAAATTGGTAGTTCAGCTATTCTGGCGCAATTATGGGCATGGTATCGGTTACCTGTTCTTGCACCACCTCATCCACCTTTATCTACATTCCATGTTCCTCTAAGGGCAAGGTTAGTAAGTATGTTACTTGTGATCGATTTGAGAATAAAAATATTTAAAATAAATTTGTATATTGAAGTACTAATGGTTTTTTTTTTTTTTTTTTTTTTTTTACCTACCACCTCACACTAAGATACATCCAGTTTTCCATGTTTCTTTGCTTAAAGCATACAAAGGTCCTATCCCTCCAACAACAGTAGTTTGCGATAACAACTCCCCACCAAGCACACTGCGTACACCTCAAGCTATCATCGCACAGCGCAACATTACCACCTCGGAATTGGGAGACCAATACCAAGTTCTAGTTGAATGGGACGGGAAGCCACGTGAAGAAGCTACTTGGGAGTCATGGGATTTATTGGTTGAACTCTATACCAAGGCAGCCCTTGAGGACAAGGTCCTTTTCCATGGGAGGGGTACTGATACACCCCAAGAAAATAGGAAGAAAGAACCGAGAATTAAGGGAGCACCATCATGGGCAACATATTTTGTTATCTCATGATTACTTTATTTTATCTTTATGTTTATCAATTAGTTATTTGATTCTGCAATTTAAATTATTATCTTAGTTATCTAGTGCATGGAAATAGGATGTTAGTTACATGCACACTTTTAAATAAGACCATTATGTGGACTATGCAGAGGAAGAAAATAAGAATTGTGTTTAAGAGAAATTCTTCTCTTGTGGAGTTCTGGGCTTGACTCGAATAAAGCTCAACAAGCTCCATCAACTTATTCAATATTGTCGATCTTGATGTCTTTATCGGGGCTTTTTGACTTTAATAAAATAAAAATTATTAGAATACGTGATTTTTGCCAACATGGAACATCGTAGCACGTAGTAAAGAAGATGCAGGGGCGTGGTGCGCCTTCTGCAAATCACACTTGGCGCATTCATGTGAGGCGCCATTCTTGACCCAGCGTCTTGTCCCTTCAGCTGTGGCATGTACCCCATGCAGGGGACTTGGTGAACAGAAGCAATACTTGGTGAACA